ATAATCATCAGAAATAGTAGGTCTACGTTGTCTTTGTGACCTTATTAATGCTATTTTTTGTGGTTCATTTAGTGTAAGTTTATTAGTAACAACTTCATTGTAAGGTGTTCGATCATTTATTGTTCTCGCAAATTGTCATATTGTTCAACATTTTGAGGAATAACATTAGAAGAAATTGAGGGTAGAGAAATTTGAACTCTAATTTCTTGTATTTTTCCATTTCGTAGTTCTAAACTCTCACTAACATCGTTGTTCTCAATTAACCTAACATTTTCAATTTCAACCATTATAGTAATATGGTTAGGACAACAAAATCTGTACCTTTTTGCATTTTTTGGAGAACCAATGAAAAATCTAATGATTGTTCTTGAGTTCAATTTTTTTCATGTAGATTATAAATTCTTGTTTTTGCCAGGCAACCCTAAACATTTAGGTGTTTTAGACTGAAGTTTATTCCAATGTATAGTTCAAAAGGAATCTTTGGGACTGCCTTATTAAGAACTCTATTTTGCATTTTTAGAAGTCTTTAATGCATACATTCACAAATGAAATGGGTAAAGAAGATTTGCTTAACATACACCTAATCGTTTTGTTGCAGTGTGCCTGATATAGTGTATTGAGAATATATGCCATGTCTTTCAAGAAATTTATCAAATTGACCAAAATGTTGTCTAGGTTCATCATATATTCTGTCTAATTATCTCTTCATTGATAAAGATCTCTAAAGTATTTACATCTTGAGACTTTTCATGCAGCAAATAAACATAACCATAACGTAAAAAATCGTTAATAAATGTGATAAAATGCTTTTTTCTACCGAAAGATGAAATATCAAAAGGCCCTCATATATCGATGAGTATTATCTTAAGAAGCTGCTTGCTTTTTGTGGCACCTTTTTTAGTGTATTTGATTTATTTACCCTTAATACAATTCACATAGGTTCCAAGATCAATGAAATCCAATTCAGAAAAAGATTTCAATCTTTACTAATCTTTCTATCATTTCATTGGATATATGACCCTAACATTCATGCCACAAATTAGTAGATCATTCATTCAATAAACCACGTTTAGTACCAAAATTATGATGCAAGGTTAAGAGTCTCAGCGGAGAAGTTTTCGAGCTTTAGTTTATATGCCCTTACAAAGAATAGCAAAATCGGTAAAATGATTTTGTTTAACCAAACTTAAACATCCATTCCACTATTAGAGAAATATCCAGCAGAGCCAAATCTCAATAAGGAAACTACATTGCAAAAGATAGAAGATGCATAACGAGTTTGAAATAAATCTAAATGATATTTAGTATCTAAAATCAAACGGTACGTTCCTATAGCTTCAATTGGAACTTTAACTCGATTGACCTTGAGAACAAACTTTATATTAGGATTTATGGTCTGGATTGAAAGGGATCTCCATATTACATTGGTAACATGAGTGGTGCATCTAGAATCAATCCACCAAGTATTATAAGGAATTTCTGTCAAGTTAAATTTGAAACATATATAAGCAATAATCTTACCTCTGCTTTCGAACAATACTTATGTTTCAGGTAATCTCTTTTTACGGTGTCAAGGTTTGCGACATAAATGACATGTATTTTTCTTGTTTTCCTTATTATAGATTTGGATAGAAGGCTCATTTATTTTTAGTGATCTTTGCTTAATTCCCTTTTCAAACCTTTTTTTATATTTCTTTCCAGCTCCTTGATGATTTACGAGATGAACAGAATGCGTTTCTTGATTTTTTAGCTTTGTCTCCTTTTGCACGACATATTGTGTTATTCACTCCTATTCCATTTATCATTTAAGGTATTAGTTCATTTGGAATGGACAATACTCAAGAGGTAAGGATTTGATGATAAACTGTGTAACGCCCCGACCCGCAAAGATCGAAATATCGCTAGATTAATTGTACTTTTAGCCGTAAACTTAATAAATAGCTAAACTTTTAGCGGAAGTATAAAGATTTAATTTAAGAAATTTTATTTATTTAGAACAATAAATGACAACATATCTCATTACAAAAGAAACTAATTTCCAATGTCTTCAGGGTGACATCCATGCATAAATACATTATTTACGTGAAATTTCTAGGCAAAAGATTTAAAAAATAAAATAAAATAAATGTTGTTGTTTGACTTCCCTTTTTTTTTTTTGCGCAGTAAGTTTTAAAGTAAACTCGTTTACATAGTAATTTAAGTCGAAATTTTATGAAACTTTAAGAGAAAGTAGGGAACTTCTCATAATATAACATATCCAAAATTCAGCTTTCATTGGCGACATATGAGATGTTAAAAATATTTTCCAAAATCCCGCTAAAAGCCTAAAACTAAAAACAAGGCTATTTTCTTTTCTATCTCGTATAGTAAGTGACAAAGTAAATTCGTTCGCATAGCTATTGACCTTGAAATTTCATGAAATTTTATTTTAAGGTAGGAAACTCCTTACAATATGTCATATCCAAAAATTGGCTTCTGTAGGCAATATATGTATTAAAATATTTTTCAAAACCCTACAACGACTCGATTTGGGAGGTAACCCAGCGCAGCATACTTAAGATGACATATAAAATTCTATAGATATTGGATTGACATGATTTTAAGTTTATACAGTAGCTAATCCACGAGACTATTAAATATCACTAGTTTTGTCCAGAAATCCCAAGTAACGATTGAGTTACTAATTTTTAAGATCGAGGGCAGAAGCTGGAATTTTCAGAAAGCAGCAACACTCCGTTTACTTAAAGTGACATAAAATTTTACCGGTATCGGATTGACATGATTCCAAGTTCATTTAGTAGCTAACTTATGAGGCTATCAAACACTACTAGCATTGTTCAAAAATTCGAAGTAAAAAATTAGTTACGAATTTCTAAACTCTGAGCAGAAACTGAAATTTTTAAGAAAACAGCAACATTAAATAGTTAACACTTTTTTTTTGTAAACGGTGTTTCGAAAGTAAATTCTAGATCTCACACACACACACACACACACACACACACACACACATATATATATATATATATATTTATTTATTTATTTATTTAAACATAACTTATTCATAAGGAAATGTTTGTAAAAATAGTTTCACATACGATGTCCATAGTAAACTAATTAAAAGAAAACACAAATATTTCATAATCAATTTAAAGACGTTAATTCACCGGCTTTTCCGTGACATATTGCATCTTCAACCACCATCATCCGCGCCCCAACAAAAACAAATCATCCTGTAAGAAGGGATTTAAACCATGAGTTTGAAACTCAATAGATATCATTGGTATATATCGTAATCAAATTAGAAAATTCGAATCATAGATTCATACAGTCGCACGTAGTTGGATTTCTGGCAAAATTTGATATCTATAGCATTTTTATAACACATAGAGTCGGAGAACGATCATTCAAACTATAGTTGTACTGAAGCACCGTACCTGAAGGTACCATTTCATTCAAATCTTTAACGAAAAATCATAATTTGAAAACGAAAATAACACTTGTACATCTACCTACCTTCGTTTGACGCTTTTGAATTGATGAAGTTGGACGTAAATATTGTTTCCTGAATGCGACCAATGCGCTTTTCTCTCTTTTAATAAAAATCTGCCTCAATTTTTCTTTCTCTTGGAACGTTTTTGGTTCAAAGTGCATGTGTTTCAATGTAATATTACATATATATTTATATATTGGAAAGTATATTAAACAAATTGGAATTGATAAAAGGGGTGGACGGTTGCCTTCTCAAAAGGAATTTGATTGGTTTCATTCCAAGTTTTCAAATATATGGAAACTATACAATCCAAATTTCCAAGAGTATTGAAACTATGAAAACGTGTGTGTGTATTTGGAAAAATTAAATGATTTGTTTATCTACCAATAATGAAATATATTCCTAGGTATAATATATTGTCCTTGGTCTATACAACTTATTAAACTGGCAAAATAAATGAACACCACAGATTCCCAATTAAAACTTAATAGACTCTATTTTCCTTATATTTCGGTCATAACGTATACGTGAATCTAGTCTTAAACAAATAAAATTTTACCATAAGGTCAATATTAAATTCCGTCCTATTTAGAAAACATGTTGAGCATAAGGTTTGTTTATGGGTTAGGCTCGTGGTGTTAGATCGTCACAAATAAAAAAAATAGCCTAATTTCATTTTATTTCTCGGGTTTCTGCAAACTGTACCAAGAAGTTTTCATCCGCAATCATTCTAAGTGTCTTATATCTTACAACAATGTTACTGATTTAAATGACATGCTCATGTATGGTACGAGAACCATCAAATTTCATGGTGGTCAAGGAACGCATCAATATGAGTTGAATTGAACTTTTTTCACACCAATTAGAAAATTTGAGCTAATTAAACAATGGTACAAATGAAGCATGTGAATGCAAAGAAACATGAATAGATATTGCAAAATATATAATGCTTTAGTATTAATGCTTTGAATTTTGGCTAAAATTTCATATTCAAATAACTTAACATTAAATGTATGCCGTAGTTCTCCTTTGGGTGATACTATGTTATACCATCGTAATAAATATAATTACGCTAATTTAGTTTTATTTATTTGTAATTAAATATGCTCTAATCAAACATGTCTGATATCTTTGGATATAAAAAACACATCTTATTAAGTATATTAACTAATCACAATCATGTTCAAGATTAATAAAATTAAATGATCAGCTTTGGACAATCCATAATAATTTTATAATAAATGAATGTCAATATACTCTTGACAACAATAATTCTAATGTCATATTCATTCATAAGCATCAAACTATCAAGAGTAATTGATATATGAATTAGAACAAACAAAAATTTGACTCTTTTTCTTAATTTTGTTTAATCGAGTGCACTTGGTACAGTCTTTTTATCTTTATCACAAAAGATGACATGATTATTTAAGTTTTAAATAAAATAATTTTTTTGGTTGATTTAAAATATGTAAGTTATTTATTTATTCCCCAAACTATTTATTTAGATAGCAAATGAATGCGTCCCTAATCAATTTTTTTGGCATTCAAGTAGAACACCGTTAAACGTAAAAGACGATTCGACTCAACTCTACTAGACTACGACCACCATGGCAAGCTTAATCTCTTTCAGCCGTTCAACCAACCTTTTCTACTACCCCAAAACTCCGTTTCAGGTAACTACTGTAAACAAAATCCTCTTAACTTTCTTCTTTTCTTAAATACCCTTTTGGTTTGGTATTTTCCAAAAGGGTGTTGTTAGGTTTAGTATTTTCGCTTGGGTGTTGTTCTGTAGTATCTCTGTATATTTGTGGGTTTTTTAAACGGATTAAGAACTATTTTATTATATGACACAGCAATGCAATGGAGGTTTGGTTATTTTGAATATTTTCGAACAAAATCAGATTTTTAGCTTAATTGACTTCAACCTTAAAAGTTTTGGACAAAAAAAGGGATGGATATATTAAGTAGAATGGCATTCCATCACTCATTGAACTACCTCTTCTTGTCGTTGTTAATGTTAGCTCTTACATTTTTCCCTACTGTTGAGGTTGAGGAATTGAACGTGGATGCTAATTATGTATTTAGTTAATATTTTTATAAGAGATAAGATGCAATGTTGCAATTAATCATTTATGGGGAGAGTTAACAAGGCTTTGGTGCTATTTTCTTTATCAGAAATAACTTAAGTAAAAATGCTGATAGGCAGCCCTTTTTTTTTTTTTTTTTTTTTTTTATATGATAAGGCAAGTGTATTATTTTTAACTTGTGAAAGTAAAGTACAAAATCACGAGGTCATACCCTAGAAAACTAGGCTAGGAATATATGTCATCCCAGCACCAATAAGTAATCAAGATTAGTGCTTAATCCTAACCATGTCAATAAAAAATATTCGTAGAAAAACCCCATGAGCGTTGGAACCATCTATTTTCGTTAGATGGAACCAAGCCCCTACATAAATTTACTAGTGCACAAATAGAAAAAACTATGCCTCGAATAACAACATACTCATGTTTAGGAGCCTCGCCATGGGGTCCTAGTATTACGTTCGTGCCAAATAGCATAAATTGAAGCCGCAAACATCATACGAATAGCAATAGATTGCATAGACCTCCCATGAAACTTCTCCATCCAAGAAAGAGTATCTGTCCAACTCCACTGAACCCAAGGTAGGTTACATTTTGCACGCAAAGGATGCCAAACACGCTCAGAATATGGGCAAGTAAAGAAAAGATGATCCAAATCCTTCTCTGAATAGCGACACAACACACAACGCATAGACGGTATCAAACCAAAGTGAAGAAGTTTGGTCTGTGTATAGAGGCCACCTTGAATTGCTAGCCAAAGGATAAATGCATAACGAGGAATACATTTAGGGAACTAGATAATGTGATACCAGGTCACCCTAGGGCAGTGAACTCGAAGAGACTCCCAAGCACTCTGAACAGAGAAGACTCCATGCATATCATTCACCCATCGCAAGACATCCTCTCTAGTACTATTTGGTCGAAAAGTATCAAGCGCATCTCGCATGAAGTTAGACAACACTGAGGAACGAGCTGATGGCCAACTCCAAGTATCACCCTCAATAATGTCAACCTTGTCTACTCAATCTAGATTCATGAATGATCCTTTCACCAAGAATCTTCTCTAAAGGGCCAAGAGGATGCCAATTATCAAACCTAAGCGAAGCACGTCTACCATTACCAATTTTGAATTTCATTTTGTCCCTCTCCATATCCCGAAGTCCAAGAATCTTCCTCCAACTCCAAGAGCAATCTCCATGACATTTCAATTCCCAAATGCTCCTGCCTCTAAGTAAGTAGCATTGTGCCCATGAAACCCGCGGAGAGGAGGCTGAATTCGTACAAAGGGACCAAAGGTGCTTTTATTCCAAATCTCCATGCTCCGTAGACCCAAACCACCCTCATCCTTAGGCATACAGATTTTTGCCCATGCCACTTTAGTCCTATCGGTGCTGAGGGCACAACCCTTCCACAAGAAGGCTCGTAGAGTATCTTCCATTGTTTGATCACAGCTTTTGGTAAAATAAATATAGAAGACCAATATACTTGAATAGAAATAGTACATACTTAATAAGCTGTAACAGCGCTCGGCAAGTCCAACTCTTCGCTCTAGTTATAATTCGATCCACCAACACCTTACAATCCAAAACTCGCAAATTAGTAGAGATGAGTGGGACACCAAGATAATGTACCAATAACACGCCCTCCTTATACCCAAAAATATCAAGCAACTGATCCTTAAGATATGAAGAAATACCACTAGCAAATAGATTACTCTTATCTGGATTAGGAATAAGTCCAGATTGAGCTTTAAATCGATTAAGGCAATCCTTAATGAGAGATACGAAACCAACCTCAACTCTACAAAAAAACCATAAGATCATCAGCAAAACACAAGTCGGTGATCTTTTCCTTCTCACATCTCCAATGGTATTTGAAATCCTGCTCAGCAACCATCAAACCCATTAATCCCGAAAAGACCTCCATTGCCAAGACAAACAAATAATGCGACAAAGGATCTCCTCGTCTCAAACCTCTCCCACCAGCAAAGAAACTATGCAACTCGCCATTAATTGAAATTGAAAATTGAGTGGAAGTGATACACTCAGTTATCCACTCAACAACCCCCTCCGGAAAACCAAGCACCCTTAGAACCGCAAGGAGTAAATCCCAGCGAACAGAATCATAAGCTTTCATGAGATCAACTTTAAGAGCACATCTAGGCACCATTCAAATTCTTTCATCTTAGTGGGATTATTGAGCATGGCTGCTGGAACAGTTTTTCTCTATCTGATTCTTCATAAATCGATGTAATTTGCATTCTCAACACGAACTTAGTTGCGTGTAGGAAATGATGTTGGCATGTGGCTACTTTTCCAACCCTCTAGGAATGTGGATGACTTCTGCATTTCTTTAGTTTCATTTTTCTCATCTCATCTCCATTGCACTATTATTTTTTCCAATCCTATCTTTTTCTTTTTCTTTTTTTTTTTCTTTCTTTTTTTCCTTCTAATGAAAAGAAAATTTTAAAAATGCACTGAGCATCCTAGTAGTATCTTATTGCTATTACAAATAACATGGTTGTGTTCGTGTTTAAGTTAAGATACTTGTTTGACCAAATTGCATTGAAAAATTAGACAATCAAATGTTTGATACTTGGATTTACACATGTACCTGAGTCTGAGAATTAGTCTTCTGTCAATATTTTGGTGCAGATTTTCTGAAGCAAACTCAAATAGATATTCAACAGCTTTATCTAATTTGGAATAAATGTTTAAGTTTATTATTCTACTCAATTTTTTAAATGTTATTCTAGGTTAGAAACAGAAATGCAACGAAATATACAGACTGTTTCTAGTCTTGCTACCTTGTGTCGTGGATATTAGAATGGTAACATGGGTGTGTTATTAGTATTTCTTGGTTTCTTTTCTTATTGTCATCTCCTGGTCGCATTAATGTGAAATGGCAAATTTATATTTGTCAAAGAAAAAAATGGAAACAAAAATAATATGCATTTACCAGCATCTCATTCAATTACTTTATGCATTTGAATTTGTAAGTTCCATCTGTTACAAACTATATAATTGCATAGTTAGGTTACTGTCATTGGTTTGATAGTTTTCTCGGCAAGTTTCATCTACAGATGCAGAATACATTTTTTATGGTCACTGTAGATGTGATTTGTAACTAATTGACTATTTATACTTGATGTATTCCCCATCCTTTTAAAACTACTTACTTCTACAAACATTCTTGTTCGACCACACACTTGTGCCAAAGAGAGTGAATTATCATTTGATGATGTTGGTCATCTTTTATACTCACTGTTATATGGGATTGCTGTAGGGAACAAACATTAGGAGATTGACAAGTGAAAGGTTTATGTGCCCATTATCCAGAAGAACAGGTTCTTTCTTCAGTCTCTTGCTGGGTCCTACTATGCACAAAAGAAGTTTCTTGATTATATTATAACCTGGAATAAGCATAATGTCATTTTTCAAATCACGAGGGCTTCAGGCCAGAACATTCAGATTTGGACAGTACATGAAGCATTAATAACAAAACTTCTAAAATTATTCAGCCAGATTTCTGTGAGCTGAGAATATAAAAGGAAATGTACGTCCTTATTATGTTCACGCTAAAGGAAAAGGAGAAAAAAAAAGTAGCATCAATATTTTCTTTAACAAATTATATTATCTTCTAGCTAAGAGATTACCGGAAACCAAATGGAAGCTAAATTGATGAGTTAGTCGAGGCATTTCTTCTATATGCTAGGGGTTTGCTTTTCTGCCTCACATTATGACTCACCATTCACTTGTGGAACAGTTAGTAGTTATTATCAGGATTTTATTATTTAGTTCATAAGTTCTTCAATTAATAAGCGGGACATTTTGGCATGTTATTTCTTTCTATCAGCAAAGATGTTAGGAATTAGGATTTGCTTTTTGAATGAATGGAACAAGATCCATCTAGCAAAGGGTATATGATGTTATGTCAAGACTAATATGGTTACCACTACTCTTCTATTTTTATTCATCTTCCTCAGAGACGTCTTTCTCCTCTAGATTTTACAAGAAAAAGAATTGTACTAATTGCATATATAATATATTCTCCTCAAAAGTTCTTGACAATGATATACAGAATGTAATGATGTGTTCCCTAATCGGCTAATCCAATACGCTTAATTTCTAAATCACTTGATGTTTATTAAGAAAACAGTAACGATTTTTGTACATGTCAAATCAAGGAAATTGTTTTTCCCTCCTTTGCCATATACGTGTGTTTAAACATGGACGTTCTGTTCTTTAAAATGTTTCAGAGTGAAGTTGCATGATGATATACAGAAACCTTTTCCATTTCCCTTGTAGGCATGAAAACACCGAAGATTTGTTAGTTGAAAAATAAATAAATAAATTGGCACAATCTAGAGAACTGCGATGCCAACTAAATAACCTTAAAAATGATTGGAAGTGAACTCGCTCTGTATCAAAATTTTGTTTGGGTCTACAAAGTAGACTAACTCTAAATGATATGTCATGAAATTAATGTTATAGCTTTGTGATGCTCGAGTAATCCTGTTTCTAGTACGTATTAATGGTTGACAACTTGAGTTTTTTTTTGCAGCAAGGAAGCTCATCTTGTCAAACCATTCTGGAGGAGACATACTTTCTTCGAATAAGAGCTGCTATCTGGACATCTTTGCTCCAACAAGACAATTTTGCAAACCTCTTATTTGCCAATTTTTTGTAAGTTCTAACGCTCATGTGCTAATTTCTGGATTCTGGATGGGACCGGATGTAGAAGATGGATGGGGTTTTGTAGAAGCAATTGTGCATCAAATGTATTAATTCTTATAATTGATCATTTTACTTGCTTTTTTTCCTCCTGGTCTTATTACATGGTTATGCAAAGAGTGGTTTGATTTATCTTGAAATATCTGATATCTTGACATATATTAGAGTAAGGATTATTCTAATTGTACATCAAATATGTATCAAGGGTTACATAAAATACAAGTGACTTTCCACCAACCAATTACATAATGCCACTTATACATTATGTAACCCTTGATGTATATGAAGCAAAGCCCTTAGAATAAAGCCAACGAGATCAAATGGTCAATTCTGTTCTACTATAATCCTCTTTCATGGCCACTTGTATGTAGTAGTTGGCTTTCAATTTTTTGAACCAATTTGCTGGATACTTGAGCATTTGAAGTGCAAATGGTGCTGTCATTTCTCTTACCAGAATTGAGCCATTCTACCTCTTCCCTTCCTACCGAAAGTTTATTAAGATTTTTCAGCTTTTATGTCCCTTCCTTATGCCACATTCTTCAATCCTCCATCAAGGTCTAAATTCATTGTCTTCTACCCGCCGTCGCATTTCAATCTTCCAGCAATGTGTAAAATTGATTATTGATGCTCATTAAGTCGAGTTTTAAGGGGTGGCTTCTCTTTCCAGCGTCTCGGAAAAAATGTGTCATGGTGACTAATATACTGAGATTTGTGATAGATATCTCGGAAGGTTGTCATTGTAACTTTACCATTCAAGAGGTATAAAATGGATTGAACTGTGACATAGCTGGCCGATCCATATGGATTTCTTTTTCGTACTTCCATTTGTTTTTCTTTTTTCTTTAAATGGACAAGCATTGCTGGAAACAAAAAAAATAAAAATAAAAGCGCACCCATCGGCCACCCGGTAGGCTCTAGACAGTGTTGCTCCTTCTGGCTTTTACTCATTTCAGAAGCGCTTCAGACCTGTCATTTCCACGCCCTTTGGCAGGTGGCATGTGGGCACCAAGTGTCGAGGAATTCACAATACTGTGAGAAGAGTAACCAGGGGTTATACTACTGCCTCCTTGTTGTAGCCTCCAGGTCGCTGCATTTGAATTAGGCTGTAAATGTGATGGAACGCTAGTGAAGGCATGAGAGTTCCCCTCAGCATGGCTAGAGACGGTAGTGTCTGAAATGCGTCCTTGGCAGCTAGAAGATGATGTATTATCCTGAGATTGTAAACTCCCAGAATATGCCCAGCTCTTTCTTCTGTTATAATGACTGCCTGCTGCCACTTTTCTCAAAGGCGATCCATGACAATTACCTCTTACAGGGGAAGTAGGACCATAAAGTCCAGGTGAACCAGCAGAAATCTGACAATATGAGCTAGGTGGAGTAAATTGTGAAGGACTAGAGCCGAGGGACATGGGTACAAAATTTCCAGGGCTGAAACCAACCCCATTCCCATGCGGTAAATGCATGATCCGCCTCGCATCAGGGCTACTTCCAAGAATTGACACGCCACTTTGTGCATAGATATTCATTCCTGATGGACCCACTGGTGAATAAAATGCAGGCAAATCATTATTATCACCATAGCTCCCATAACTGCTTCCTAGCCCCATGCCATCATTGTAGCTACTGTGGCTGCCCAGACTACCATAACTACCTGCATGCACATACGACATGACTTGATGACGCTGGGTATTTGGCATCATAACTTGGTTCCTGCCTGAAATCTACATAATGAGGTAAAGCAAGAAGATTATTCAAGTGTTAACAACATTCATATAAATGAAAACAGAAGAATACCAGGAAATAGCTTGCTCACATTAGGGGAGAGACCAGCAGCAAACCAATGCCCACCAGCTGGATGATGGTCCACCTTAACATTTTGAGAGACGGGCTATAAAAGAAAAGGTACAAGTAACGAAATATGCAACGGAAGCAATACAAGGGAAAGTCAAAATGCACATATTACTGAAACTATCCATGAACACGGCTTCTACTGCATTAATATGCCATTGCGTACAAAGCGAACCAATAAAAGTCGAATTTTTCATATTTTAGATAAGGAAACATTTACAATTTCACTAAACTTGATTCTCACAACCACAAGAGTATCAAGATAAGTTAGGAATTAAAAAGGAAGGGAAGGTTAGTAGTGTCATAAGTAATTAGATGAGAAGTCAATCAAATGAAAAATTACTCACCACACGAGGTGTCTCTGGAGCAGGTTTATAAGGACTTGTAAAAGGTTCTCCAGTCACAAAAGGATGTTTTGAAGCCTGCAGAGAAAAACTAGAATAATCAATCTTATGCAGCAATGAAGATCATTAGTCACTTTAATTGTACAATCTGTTCCACTTCAAGATCAAGGAAGCCTCTACCAAACTGCCTTTTTAATTAAAAATCATTTCTAGAGATAAACCTATTAAAAGGCTGGAAAACTTTTACCAAAGTTAAGTTACTAAACAAATATATAAAGATATTAGAAGTTAAACCAACATCACATTTCACATTTTGGAGGTTATGAATTGTATACACCTGGCCTAGGAGCCAGAAAAATACTAAAAATGAGATAAGCAACTATACAACCTTTCTAAAAATTTGACAGTTTAACTTGGAAATGTTTTAACAAAATATACATGGCAACTGGGCTCTTGTCTATATTTGACCCAACCTAACAATATGGTCCTGGAACGAAATTAAAGCAAGCAGGTGCATTCGTAAAGAGTGAAATTTACTTCCCTCTTGGGAATTTATTTTTCTGGAGTAGAGAAAAGAGCTTTGAAAGATTAGAAACTTATTGCTCTTATAGCATCTTCTGCTATCTCTTAGCAGCTCTGAACTATATACCTCCCGCGTATGGATACACCCTCCGGACGCCTCACAAAAAAAATATCCCTTACATTACTTATCAAACATAGCAAACTCATTAGTCAAGCAGAGCTGGTTCATTACTCTCGTGAAGCGTATAACTTCACCCTGACCACCACACAAACTTAAACCAACATATTTGCAAGAAAATTGTTAATAAAGTAATAATACTAAAAAGTTAAACGCACCATGTGTACTGTTCTCTCTTATAAGCCCTTGTTTGAGCCACATTATATTCCAAAGAATGCATTTTTGAATAGTGTATTGATGGAAAATGTGTGGTTAAAAAATAAAGAAAATTTTGAATTTGCGTGTAATGTTATTTTATTGAAGAATGTGTGGTTGAAATGATGTCAAATCGCCTTTTTTTTTTTTTTTTTTTATATGATAAGGCAAGTGTATTATTTTTAACTTGTGAAAGTAGAGTACAAAATCACGAGGTCATACCCTAGAAAACTAGGCTAGGAATATATGTCATCCCAGCACCAATAAGTAATCAAGATTAGTGCTTAATCCTAACCATGTCAATAAAAAATATTCGTAGAAAAACCCCATGAGCGTTGGAACCATCTATTTTCGTTAGATGGAACCAAGCCCCTACATAAATTTACTAGTGCACAAATAGAAAAAACTATGCCTCGAATAACAACATACTCATGTTTAGGAGCCTCGCCATGGGGTCCTAGTATTACGTTCGTGCCAAATAGCATAAATTGAAGCCGCAAACATCATACGAATAGCAATAGATTGCATAGACCTCCCATGAAACTTCTCCATCCAAGAAAGAGTATCTGTCCAACTCCACTGAACCCAAGGTAGGTTACATTTTGCACGCAAAGGATGCCAAACACGCTCAGAATATGGGCAAGTAAAGAAAAGATGATCCAAATCCTTCTCTGAATAGCGACACAACACACAACGCATAGACGGTATCAAACCAAAGTGAAGAAGTTTGGTCTGTGTATAGAGGCCACCTTGAATTGCTAGCCAAAGGATAAATGCATAACGAGGAATACATTTAGGGAACTAGATAATGTGATACCAGGTCACCCTAGGGCAGTGAACTCGAAGAGACTCCCAAGCACTCCGAATATAGAAGACTCCATGCACATCATCCACCCATCGCAAGACATTCTCTCTAGTACTATCTGGTCGAAAAGTATCAAGCGTATCTCGCATGAAGTTAGACAACACTGAGGAACGAGCTGATGGCCAACTCCAAGTATCACCCTCAATAATGTCAACCTTGTCTGCTCAATCTAGATTCATGAATGATCCTTTCACCAAGAATCTTCTCTAAAGGGCCAAGAGGATGCCAATTATCAAACCTAAGCGAAGCACGTCTACCATTACCAATTTTGAATTTCATTTTGTCCCTCTCCATATCCCGAAGTCCAAGAATCTTCCTCCAACTCCAAGAGCAATCTCCATGACATTTCAATTCCCAAATGCTCCTGCCTCTAAGTAAGTAGCATTGTGCCCATGAAACCCACGGAGAGGAGGCTGAATTCGTACAAAGGGACCAAAGGTGCTTTTATTCCAAATCTCCATGCTCCGTAGACCCAAACCACCCTCATCCTTAGGCATACAGATTTTTGCCCATGCCACTTTAGTCCTATCGGTGCTGAGGGCACAACCCTTCCACAAGAAGGCTCGTAGAGTATCTTCCATTGTTTGATCACAGCTTTTGGTAAAATAAATATAGAAGACCAATATACTTGAATAGAAATAGTACATACTTAATAAGCTGTAACAGCGCTCGGCAAGTCCAACTCTTCGCTCTAGTTATAATTCGATCCACCAACACCTTACAATCCAAAACTCGCAAATTAGTAGAGATGAGTGGGACACCAAGATAATGTACCAATAACACGCCCTCCTTATACCCAAAAATATCAAGCAACTGATCCTTAAGATATGAAGAAATACCGCTAGCAAATAGATTACTCTTATCTGGATTAGGAATAAGTCCAGATAGAGCTTTAAATCGATTAAGGCAATCCTTAATGAGAGATACGAAACCAACCTCAACTCTACAAAAAAACCATAAGATCATCAGCAAAACACAAGTCGGTGATCTTTTCCTTCTCACATCTCCAATGGTATTTGAAATCCTGCTCAGCAACCATCAAACCCATTAATCCCGAAAAGACCTCCATTGCCAAGACAAACAAATAATGCGACAAAGGATCTCCTCGTCTCAAACCTCTCCCACCAGCAAAGAAACTATGCAACTCGCCATTAATTGAAATTGAAAATTGAGTGGAAGTGATACACTCAGTTATCCACTCAACAACCCCCTCCGGAAAACCAAGCACCCTTAGAACCGCAAGGAGTAAATCCCAGCGAACAGAATCATAAGCTTTCATGAGATCAACTTTAAGAGCACATCTAGGCACCATTCAAATTCTTTCATCTTAGTGGGATTATTGAGCATGGCTGCTGGAACAGTTTTTCTCTATCTGATTCTTCATAAATCGATGTAATTTGCATTCTCAACACGAACTTAGTTGCGTGTAGGAAATGATGTTGGCATGTGGCTACTTTTCCAACCCTCTAGGAATGTGGATGACTTCTGCATTTCTTTAGTTTCATTTTTCTCATCTCATCTCCATTGCACTATTATTTTTTCCAATCCTATCTTTTTCTTTTTCTTTTTTTTTTTCTTTCTTTTTTTCCTTCTAATGAAAAGAAAATTTTAAAAATGCACTGAGCATCCTAGTAGTATCTTATTGCTATTACAAATAACATGGTTGTGTTCGTGTTTAAGTTAAGATACTTGTTTGACCAAATTGCATTGAAAAATTAGACAATCAAATGTTTGATACTTGGATTTACACATGTACCTGAGTCTGAGAATTAGTCTTCTGTCAATATTTTGGTGCAGATTTTCTGAAGCAAACTCAAATAGATATTCAACAGCTTTATCTAATTTGGAATAAATGTTTAAGTTTATTATTCTACTCAATTTTTTAAATGTTATTCTAGGTTAGAAACAGAAATGCAACGAAATATACAGACTGTTTCTAGTCTTGCTACCTTGTGTCGTGGATATTAGAATGGTAACATGGGTGTGTTATTAGTATTTCTTGGTTTCTTTTCTTATTGTCATCTCCTGGTCGCATTAATGTGAAATGGCAAATTTATGTTTGTCAAAGAAAAAAATGGAAACAAAAATAATATGCATTTACCAGCATCTCATTCAATTACTTTATGCATTTGAATTTGTAAGTTCCATCTGTTACAAACTATATAATTGCATAGTTAGGTTACTGTCATTGGTTTGATAGTTTTCTCGGCAAGTTTCATCTACAGATGCAGAATACATTTTTTATGGTCACTGTAGATGTGATTTGTAACTAATTGACTATTTATACTTGATGTATTCCCCATCCTTTTAAAACTACTTACTTCTACAAACATTCTTGTTCGACCACACACTTGTGCCAAAGAGAGTGAATTATCATTTGATGATGTTGGTCATCTTTTATACTCACTGTTATATGGGATTGCTGTAGGGAACAAACATTAGGAGATTGACAAGTGAAAGGTTTATGTGCCCATTATCCAGAAGAACAGGTTCTTTCTTCAGTCTCTTGCTGGGTCCTACTATGCACAAAAGAAGTTTCTTGATTATATTATAACCTGGAATAAGCATAATGTCATTTTTCAAATCACGAGGGCTTCAGGCCAGAACATTCAGATTTGGACAGTACATGAAGCATTAATAACAAAACTTCTAAAATTATTCAGCCAGATTTCTGTGAGCTGAGAATATAAAAGGAAATGTACGTCCTTATTATGTTCACGCTAAAGGAAAAGGAGAAAAAAAAAGTAGCATCAATATTTTCTTTAACAAATTATATTATCTTCTAGCTAAGAGATTACCGGAAACCAAATGGAAGCTAAATTGATGAGTTAGTCGAGGCATTTCTTCTATATGCTAGGGGTTTGCTTTTCTGCCTCACATTATGACTCACCATTTACTTGTGGAACAGTTAGTAGTTATTATCAGGATTTTATTATTTAGTTCATAAGTTCTTCAATTAATAAGCGGGACATTTTGGCATGTTATTTCTTTCTATCAGCAAAGATGTTAGGAATTAGGATTTGCTTTTTGAATGAATGGAACAAGATCCATCTAGCAAAGGGTATATGATGTTATGTCAAGACTAATATGGTTACCACTACTCTTCTATTTTTATTCATCTTCCTCAGAGACGTCTTTCTCCTCTAGATTTTACAAGAAAAAGAATTGTACTAATTGCATATATAATATATTCTCCTCAAAAGTTCTTGACAATGATATACAGAATGTAATGATGTGTTCCCTAATCGGCTAATCCAATACGCTTAATTTCTAAATCACTTGATGTTTATTAAGAAAACAGTAACGATTTTTGTACATGTCAAATCAAGGAAATTGTTTTTCCCTCCTTTGCCATATACGTGTGTTTAAACATGGACGTTCTGTTCTTTAAAATGTTTCAGAGTGAAGTTGCATGATGATATACAGAAACCTTTTCCATTTCCCTTGTAGGCATGAAAACACCGAAGATTTGTTAGTTGAAAAATAAATAAATAAATTGGCACAATCTAGAGAACTGCGATGCCAACTAAATAACCTTAAAAATGATTGGAAGTGAACTCGCTCTGTATCAAAATTTTGTTTGGGTCTACAAAGTAGACTAACTCTAAATGATATGTCATGAAATTAATGTTATAGCTTTGTGATGCTCGAGTAATCCTGTTTCTAGTACGTATTAATGGTTGACAACTTGAGTTTTTTTTTGCAGCAAGGAAGCTCATCTTGTCAAACCATTCTGGAGGAGACATACTTTCTTCGAATAAGAGCTGCTATCTGGACATCTTTGCTCCAACAAGACAATTTTGCAAACCTCTTATTTGCCAATTTTTTGTAAGTTCTAACGCTCATGTGCTAATTTCTGGATTCTGGATGGGACCGGATGTAGAAGATGGATGGGGTTTTGTAGAAGCAATTGTGCATCAAATGTATTAATTCTTATAATTGATCATTTTACTTGCTTTTTTTCCTCCTGGTCTTATTACATGGTTATGCAAAGAGTGGTTTGATTTATCTTGAAATATCTGATATCTTGACATATATTAGAGTAAGGATTATTCTAATTGTACATCAAATATGTATCAAGGGTTACATAAAATACAAGTGACTTTCCACCAACCAATTACATAATGCCACTTATACATTATGTAACCCTTGATGTATATGAAGCAAAGCCCTTAGAATAAAGCCAACGAGATCAAATGGTCAATTCTGTTCTACTATAATCCTCTTTCATGGCCACTTGTATGTAGTAGTTGGCTTTCAATTTTTTGAACCAATTTGCTGGATACTTGAGCATTTGAAGTGCAAATGGTGCTGTCATTTCTCTTACCAGAATTGAGCCATTCTACCTCTTCCCTTCCTACCGAAAGTTTATTAAGATTTTTCAGCTTTTATGTCCCTTCCTTATGCCATATTCTTCAATCCTCCATCAAGGTCTAAATTCATTGTCTTCTACCCGCCGTCGCATTTCAATCTTCCAGCAATGTGTAAAATTGATTATTGATGCTCATTAAGTCGAGTTTTAAGGGGTGGCTTCTCTTTCCAGCGTCTCGGAAAAAATGTGTCATGGTGACTAATATACTGAGATTTGTGATAGATATCTCGGAAGGTTGTCATTGTAACTTTACCATTCAAGAGGTATAAAATGGATTGAACTGTGACATAGCTGGCCGATCCATATGGATTTCTTTTTCGTACTTCCATTTGTTTTTCTTTTTTCTTTAAATGGACAAGCATTGCTGGAAACAAAAAAAATAAAAATAAAAGCGCACCCATCGGCCACCCGGTAGGCTCTAGACAGTGTTGCTCCTTCTGGCTTTTACTCATTTCAGAAGCATCCCTATACTTCAATGAGTAGTAGTAAAATAGATTCTATTTACGCTAACCCATTAGCTAAAAGAATAAAATAGTAGTAAAAAAATTCTATTTATCCTAAATCCCAATAATAAAATTTTTGAGCTCTAGTGTACTAAATTAATAATCTCACTAAAATATAAAGTCTTTAAGATGTTTTTTTATAAGATTGTATTCAACATACATTGACAAAACCCCTCCAGAATACACAACAGGCGGGGATGGTTTTTTTTCCGTGCACTATATTCACATGGAACCCATTCTCATGTGAGTGTTCTGTATTGTTTCTGTGAAATCATTTTTGTACAAATGGAAAAACTATAACTTTTATGTCAGTTCTCAATTTTGTATTAGGTGGTGATGTATAATTGCTACATTGACAACACTTATGGTTGGAGTTTTTTAAGCCAATTGTCACCTTGTAACAAATTTGGCAAAATTGTCTATGCGCATAGCACAGTTCTTGAAGTTTTATGTAGAAATTGACATCATCCTTTATATATATATATTATTTGAGCAGTATATGTGTATTGGATGGGAAAAAAAATTGTACAAGTGGTAAACATAAATAATAGTTTTAAAATTAATAAATAATTGATAAAATAGTAAATTATTTATTTATTTATGTACATAAATAAATTTTTTTTCTTAACGTACTCCAAAAATATAATTTCATAGATTGACATCCACTTGGAAGTTTGAACCACCAAAACTGGATAGCCCTATCGCTAACATAGTGCGCGCGCGCATCTAATCTGTCAATGCTGCCCCAAAACCACACAAAAAACGCTGAATTCTATTGTGAATATGACAACGCAACACTATTTCCGTACATGTAAATGCAATTCCATTGAAGCAGTTAGTCTTATGAAGAAAATACGTTATGATCGTAAATATAAAAATGATTAAAGGTTCGATACCATTTATAAAAATCCCTTTCGATCTTTTTTTGTCCAGAAAATTTGCTGGTATGCTTTAAAATGAGGAACATATATTTAAGGTTAATTATATTACCACTAAAAATTTTAATTACTACACTACATTATAATCACACCACAATTAAAATATATTTTTAATGAATACACTAGAATAAATTTACAATTATACTCCTAATTCAATAAAACTTAAAAAAAAAACAATGAAAGACATAATACAATATTGTGGTGTATTTACGTATTCGAATAAACCAAAATAACATTTCAAGACATAATGAAGTAGCATGCCATAGTCTCAATGATAGCTCCAGAATAAAAACAAAACTTGCCCACATTGAATTCCCATAACATCTTCTGATACTGCAAAATGATTTAATAAAGCATTGAAAATCTAAAGTCATTACATAGATCACTCATCTTCTTGACTATGCAAAATCTAAAGCCCTTGAAAATCTCCTCACATGTGAATCAATACCCCCAATCTCTTGGTTCTCCACTTCAACATTTCCCAATCCCATATTCCCTCTATATCCCTTACCCCTTGCCTAGATGGCAATTTTAAGCTAATTCATGCGGTACTAGAAGCTCCTTTTTTTGTATGGATCTTTATGAAAAAATTCTGACATTATATTTTAAATAGACTTTTATTTTTTGTTCAAAAATTTATGTTGTCAGGATTGTGAATGAGAATAAATTCTATCAATTTCATCATTGAAACATAATTTTTTAATCGTTATTCTTCCATGGAATCATTTAATTTCGACGAGCGAGATTTAATTTCTTTAATGGCCAAACTTAATTGAAAGATGAAGTTTTAAGGGAGGGGGGGGGGGGGCGGGGGGGGGGGGGGAAGGGTTTTGTTTTTTGACTTTTACTAGTTAATTTCTTAAAAGGTTTTTGAGTAGCAGCCTTCCCTACATAAGGAACTCTGATTTTGGATTCTAATGAAGTTCTGGATTTCCAACTCATTTTAATTGTGTGAATTGAATTCCTGCATAAAACAAATAGTAAACGTTTGACGTACAATGATTTGACGATTTTTCCCTCCAATTTTAAGCCACATATAATTTTAATATCCACATGGACAGTTTCCATTAAGTGAGGACTCAAATTCACCTATTCAAACGAGAACCCAAAACCTTTCTTTTTGAAGGTAGAAGACCCAAAGAGAAACCAGCCCCTAATTTTCTCAAATGTTTTTTTACCATGATTAGAAGTAAAAGAACAAACTCCAACTCATCATGCTCATCGTTTGTCAACAGGATCGAGGCATTTGGAGGAGCAAAAGAGGTGGGAGAAGCAGTCGTCAGGACAATCACAGCATCAACCAAACTCACAGATGTCAAAGGAACATTAACAGAGTCAAGTTTGAGACAGGACTCACAAAGAAAAGTTAACTACTATAAGCTGGAATTCAGAGTCGAAAGCTCAATGTTTCAGCGACACAATGTCGCCATCTGTTGTGCCTGCAAGGGAAGATTGTTCACTTTAAATGCACAGACTCCAGAATCTGCTTGGCCACAACTGAAATCAGATTTCTATAAAATTGCTGATTCTTTTAGTCTAACTAATTAGTGACATTAAACATACAAAAATATCTCCAGTTTACAAAGTAGGATGGGGGTCGGGGGTGTGTTTGTGTTGGGGAGAGGGGGGGTGGGACTATGAAAAGTTAGGACTTAGGAGTGTATATCAATCTGCAGGAGAGCACAGAGATTCACGATGTAAACAAACATCAAACTGTTCTCTCATTTTTGCTCTATTATCCATAGAAGAAATCTGTGTACAATCAGTTGAAAATTCATATTTTTCAAAAATGATAAACCACTCGTACAATCTGTATCTTCATAAACAATTAAGAAAGAATCTTTTTCACTAATGGCCTCCTGTATCTGCACCAGCTCGATTTCGAAGATGTACGTATTTCCTCGGGCTAAGAAACCGTGTGTGTTTATTGCAAGATTACAAAAAAGGGGATTAAAAGGCAAGAATAACATATGAAGTAAACTAGTGACGACCCCAAACCTAGAATGATCAAACATCATGCTTAGATACATCAGGCATCAATCATCACCATCAACATGTTGGTTAGGAGTTCCAGCAAGCCACCCCCACATGCCGCCTGAGCTCTGCCTCTGTTTTGCATTTAGGGCAGCTTGTTCAGAAGCGGCCTTCTGTCGCTGGAGAAGTTCAAGTTCCTTTTGTAAGATTTCCATTGTTTGTAGCTTCTGTCGCATCTCTGCAACATCAACCTGTAAGTTAAAGAAGCGAGAGTTAGCAGCCGAGCAAAAGTAGAAAACTGAACCGGTTTATACCCTTTCACATAAACCGCATGACACTGACCAACAAAGATCCTGTAGTTACCGATTAAAGAGAAGGGAAAAAATTATGTTTCCTAGATTCTACACTATAATTGGGCCATCTAAACCAATAGCAAATTGCATATTTTTCGGGGGAGGGAGGTAGGACCAATAAGAAATCATATCTTCATAGTGATGGTGAATTTAAGTGTTCGAAAAAAAGAACCTTGTAATGTAACCTAACTGAATCAACCAATTATATATTACTAAAACGACATCTGCTATACCTCATTTATAAAGCAATATGAAATCATACATTTTCTAATTTCTCGTAACCGTTTTGAAAATACCTTAGGAATTACACCTCTACACTAAAATGAAAAGAAAATGAAAAAATTCCCATGTGGAATAAGTAACCTTATTAGAAAGAATAACTGATAATTTTATTCTATAAGTAATGCTATTCATCACTACTAGTGTTTAAGTACCAGTCTGTGGCAATTACATGGCATAAAATGTTAGATTCATTTAAATGCAAAGTCACGTGACTCATTTAAATGAAAAAGTGTAACCACCTAACAATTAGTGCTAGATAGCATTATTCTTATTCTATTAGTTGTAACTGGTAGTTAGTGATGCGGTATGTTGGAGAGATGGAGAGGCAGTAAAAGAGAGATTATTTGGTTACGCATATTCAAACTGACAAGTGATTCTTAGGACTCCTCGTGGAGGTGGCATGTGCATTAATCAAGAAGCACAGCTGGATAAATTACACTGCAAATTTCCCATTTTGGCCAGGTTACTGAAATATGCACTCCTCAAGAAATCCTTTCTCCTTTACCACAGCCAAAATTTACCAAGAAATAAAATATTCATGAGAATCAGCAAAAGATTTTAGACAGCTACCTCAAGTTTGAAACATCTGGACTGCTCAGATGCAAGCTGGCTTCGTACAGATTGGAGTTCCTGAAAATTATGAGTGATTTCTAAAATTAAACTAAACTGAGGAGGAATAAATGTATACTCATACTTTGCTAAACCAAAATTATCTTGGTATTAATGGGGAAAAGAAACCCGAGGAGAAGAAGAGAATTCTGTCCAGTGATGTCCTAGCTTATAACCTCGTTATCTAATATTAATTTCCATCACATGACACATTTTTTTAATTAAAACTTTGGCCAGAACTCACTTAAAACATGATGCCACACCACTCAGGTTGCAAATTCTTGATAAACCCACAAACTCAAAATTTTCCAGAGCATTCATCAAGTACATGTAGTAGACATCTCTCTTTAGAAGGATTATAGGACTAAAAGACATCAAAATAGAGAATTCTGACACTTTTTTCAAGATTTTCTACATAAAAGTAGAACACTAAAGAGCGATAGCAAAATTGAACAAAAAAATAAGCCTTTGTATGCTAGACTCGAGAAGGCCTCATTTTTCCATCACTCTAAGCTCTCCCAAAAAATGCAAGCAAGTTGGTTTTGAATACTTTCTTTGTGAAGCATGCTGCCATCAGAAATCATATTTGACAGTAAAAAAAAATTCATCTGATATGGTGGTAAGATGAGACTATTTTATCAATTTCATATCTGAACACCAGTAACTGCAGAATGTTCTCTCCTTTGGGATTGAACATAGCTCCCGTTTGGCCCCATTCTCCTTCTCATTCTCTTTCTCAATCTTATTTTCAACAACACAATCTTCCATAAAATAATATTACACGCAAATAAAAAACTTTTCATTCTTTTACAACCACATTTTTCAAAAAAAACACTATTCCAACCATTAAAATTTGGAAAGAATGTGGGCCAAACGGGGGCATAATGAATATGCACCTCACAAATTTAGGTCATTTCTTCAAAAAAAATAAAATAAAATAATTTTGTCAAACACAAATCTCTATGGCATAATACATGCACGTAAAACGCTCATATTTTTATAGATGAGCTGGAGCCTCTCTGGCCAGCAAATTTACTGGTGTGATGCTCTCACACTTGTCCAACTCCCACTTTTGTCAAGAAATTCGTGCAAGAACAATTCCAAGAATAGATATATTCGATCAATATATCTACGAAATCAATAAAAAGAATAAATTTAGAAGAAACCACTACATAACAATGTGAAACTATTGTACATACTGTTACAATTTAATAACTCGATTCTTGTTCATGCATAGAGCAGAAAGACATTTTAGCCCTTGTTACCTTAAATTTAGCTCACACAGCACTAGCAAAATGGATTGGTGAAATTGCCAAAAAGGTTACCTTGTATAGGTCTGTGCTGCGATTCTCAGCTTCCGTCAACTCTTGCTTTAGCTGGAGGGTTTGCATTTTCTCCTTACTGAGAGAGGATACTAGTTCTTCCTTTTCTCCCTTGAGGGCTGCTAAGAGACGCTCATTGGTTTCTTCAACCTTGTTGACCTGTAACATAGGGATTCATATGTCAAAAGTTCTTCAAAGGTTTTTGTACAAGGAAAGGAGGTTTATGATATTATATTAAATACTCCATTCCCATTTTTTTGCAACATTATCTACAGTACAAAATTAGATAGTAAATTTTTCGACACCATATATCATATTAATTTAATTCATTGATATGGGGAAAAACAGGTGATTGTACTATGTATGTAGTTTAATAATCTATTTCATTATATGATAAAAATTATGAAAGTGCATGCTGGCATTCCAAATGTATTAATAATATAAATAAATAATTGACCAGTTTAACAGAAGGACTGCAGCCAATTTTTGTGGGTGGAGTACTTAAACAGTATTTTGCAACCATACAAGTATTATAATGAATGTGTAACACTCAAATTATCATTAACATTGCTAGTCAATAATTAGCGCAAAAGGTTTTGCCTTGTCTATGAGTACATATAATAGATAGTAAGGAAAAAAAGTAAATTTGTGTATGCCATTAACCTAAGTATCAAGACAATAACTATGGTACAAGTACTTTATACAAATAAATCCAAGAAAGCAAGTATGCAACTTTCCGTACCATTGGCTCTGAATCAACATTGTCCATAACAATTTCTCTAATTTTTCCTTCTTGGCCGATCGATTCCACATCTCTGGTAGCATTTGTAGCATTCTGAATGGCTGAAACACTATCAGGTACTTGTGACTCCATCATCTTTGATTTAAAAGTTGATTTGTGACTTGGTTTAAGTACATTGACCTATTAGCAGAAAGTAAAGCCACATTGAAGCATTAACAAAGGAAATCAGCTTACAGAAAAGTTAAACCTAAAGGGAAGCTCATACCTCATTATTGTACCGCCCATTATATCCTCCAAAAGAAACCAGGATATCTTCACCATTGAAGGAACTCAGGACCAAACTTGAGCCCTATACAAACATGGAAAGGCAGGTACCATTTACTGGTTATCATTCACTTGTAATTGAAGTAATCATAAAAAATCACCATATATGCAGGTGCAAATACGATTTTATCCAATCCAGTAACTGTTAAATACCTTTTTAAGTATAAGTTAAAACCAACATCATCTTCCTATATGTGCACATGACACAAGAAATGAACTTTTAATACTATAAAGTTCTCTCAGTGAGATGCATCCAATACAAGTTTATCAGAAGTAGCAAGTTTTTTTCTTGGGCTGTCAACAATGGGGCTCCCTTTGAAATATATTAGCTCAACAGGAGAAATATTCGTCAGGTCTGTCAAAACTCTTAACTATGTTTTATTTGACAACAGTAGCAATGTCATAGTTCTTCGTCTTCATAGATCTCTTACAGTTATTGTGTAAGGTTAGTGTAAAGGTTTTCGCTCAATCAAATGGCAGCTTCTTGTTCCAATATTAAGTTGCATGATGTTTTAAAGGTTCAAGTGCTTTTTAAGATTGTTATTCTAACACCTAAGGGCTTGTTTGAGCCACATTATTTTCAAAAAAATACATTTTTCAACAGTGATTTGATATCATTTCAACCACACATTTTTCAATAAAATAATATTATACGCAAATCTAAAACTTTTCCTTATTTTTTAACCACACATTTCCCATTGATTTGACATGAATAATGCATTTTTTTCCAAGAATGTGGCTCAAACATGGGCTAAATCATTGGTTCCTGAGCTTCTGACAATATAACTGGATCTTCTCATTTCTTCTCACATTGTTACACTTGTGCAGGCACAACAGATGGCAATGATTGTAGTGTTACGGATCAAGGAATAGTTTTCTTGAAAGATTCAAGTCACTTTCCTAATTTAACATGTAAACTATGTCCAAGACAAAACGTACCAATTATCTAGATTGCTTAACTTCGTTTCCCTCTCATTGTGTTATACAGGACAAAACAGGTATACAGCTTGTGTATGCTATGGAAAATGATAGACTTTATGGTCCGACTGGAACTGCTTGTTTTGTTCCAGGTGTTTCACTTCTAGCCTATCCAGTCTCCAATCGAACTTAAGAGTGGATGTGGCCATCTTGGAACCATGTTTGTCATCCTTCAAAGAGAAGGATATCTTACTTGGCATAACAAATGGGGTTCACCATTAATTTTTTTTATGCGAAGATATTTCTTTCACTTGATTTCAATAAAACAGCTTTCATTGTAAAATTTTGAAATCGTTAAACATCATCTGGTTCCATTTTGATCAATAAATGAAAGATTTGTGGCTTCGTTCTGTCTTATTCATAATGATGTGTGCGAAAAGTAAAACCTAGAATCACTAATATTTGTGGTGCTCTATGATTTGCCGAACTTATGGATGATTGCAGTGAGGTCACATGGGTGTATCTGCTAAAAAATAAGTATCAAGTCAGTCAACTTACCCATCTTCCATAAAATGATATGCTCAATCAATTCGGTAAATATCCATATTCAAAAGTTCAGACAACGGAAAAGAAAATTTCAACGAGTTATCTCTTAGTTCCAAAAAGGAGGGATTATTCAACATTCCACATGTACTGTCACTCTTCGACAAATGAGTAGCAAAGAATATAAATTTACATCTAGAAGTTGCTAGAACTTTGCTTTTACGAATGAGAGTACCAAAAACTTAATGGGCAAGTTATGTCAAAAACTTATCTAATTAATTAGCTAATCTCTAGATTTCTAGGTTTTAAAAGTCCATCAAAAAACTCAAAGCAATAATTGCAGTCTCAATACAGCCTATTTAATTTGAGTTATAAGTTTTCCTTCATTTAAACGCTTTGGAAATCTTCCCCCTAAAGCATTTGGGTGCATTTCCTTGACAAGATCAAACTTGATCCTAAAGCACTCAAGTGTAGGTTACTAACAATACACCAAAAAAATGGGGTACAAGATGCTAATTAAGAAGGGATATATTTTGTCTAAACATAGAAAGGAATATGTTAGGATGAAGATTAATCATGAATTGGGAGATTTTTCTAGAGATCCATCTGCTGACCAAAAAATGTAACAGCTAATTGTTGGAATGTTAATTTATCTTACCCCATACCAGATCTAATATTACCTATACATTTAACGTAATCAGTCAATTTATGGACGCACCAAAGGAAAAATACTTGGAAGCTGCCTACCAAATTCTTAATCATTTGAAATCAGCACCAGGGAATGACACGTTATATATTAGATAACGTGGAAAATATGAAGTGGAAGTGTATACTGATTCAAACTGGGTCATGGCGATCACTCATCAAAGGTGCCCACTGGTTTACACATTTTGTTGGAGGTATTCTTATGATATTGAGGAGCAAGAAAAAATCCAGGGTGGCCAAATCAAGTGTTAAAGCCAAATTTAGATCCAGTAACAGGTGATACGCAAGATTCTCCACATAAAGATCATTTTGTCAGATTTAGGAACAAAGTAAGAAGGTCCTATCTATAATGTGAAAATAAATCTGCAATAAAGAAAGCACACAATCCTATCCATCACGATCGAACTAAAGACAAGGAAACACACCAACAGTTTATTACAAAACTCGAAAGTGGAGAGATCTGTATTCCTCAAGTTTGCAGATATCCTCACTAAGGTTTAACAGTCTCCTCTTTCAAGTTCATTATACACATGCTGGGAAAGAAAAACATTTTCAAGCCAACTTGAGAAAAGTGTCGAATTTCTGCCATTTTATAATCTTAGAAAATTTTATTCTCTGTGTTTTGTATTAATTTTATATCTTTCCTTTGGTGTTCGCTGCCCTTAATTGTATTATGTAAATATGTAGGGTGTAATTAACTATTAGAATTATGCCTAGAGAGATTTGGTAAAAATCGTAGAAGTAGTCACTCACCGTAAAATTATGCCTAGACATAATTCAAGAATAGACTAACTAGTAACTACTGTATATATACCTATGTGGCCCCAGTAATTTAGAATCAACATCAGTTTTTAATATAATTGCATTATAAAAGATCACCCAATGAAAAATTTAACTGCAGCTGAATCAGAAAATCTGCGAGGATGTTACATCTGTGCTATAGAACAACATATTATACAGTTGTAAATCTTCCAAGCCTTCCCTATTGGAGATCACCACATCTTTAAACATTCCAGATTTTATCATATGCTTATTATTATCACCCTACCCCAATTCATCCCGCTATCAATGGTACATAGTTGAGACTCTCTGAGGGATCACTTAAAACAAGACTTCAATAGTTCTTACATAACCCCCCTCTTGCAACACCATGATGGAGAATCTATCAACAATTTAATCATATAATTACATCTGAATATGATATACAATTAGATCATTAGCATATTATGAACATATTTATTAAGCAGTAATTATTGTCACTAATTAATTTTACTAGATATCAAATACCTCACTAGCAAGAGGAATGCGCCCTTGAAATGTAGTTACAACTGACCAGACCAACGTGGACATGTTAAGGACAACATTTTCAGAGACACCTACAAAAGAGTTAGAGAAAAATAAGGAATATGGAAAATCTCACTAAGTAGCACACGTGATTTAGGAGCAACAATGGATATAGATAACTCTGTATTTTCTCAAATATTGCAAAAAGTAGGTTTATCAACGAGTTAACAGTCAATAACTCATAATCTCTGTAACAAGAGCCAACTTGGAACAGTATTGACAGATAAAATTCTCGAAGTAAAATGAACTCTTCAATAACAAGTTTTTACATTAATGGACATCTGAGAATCAACACTTTTGGAAGAAAAGCTAGAGCAACCTTGTATAAATTAATATGATTTAAATACAAAAATAAATCAAGAAGAAGACTGAAAAAATAAGAAAAATGAAAACGAGGGCAAATAAAAGACAGAAGCGGACATGCCTGCAGGAATGATACATGGAGAATTTGCTAAAAGGTAATACCCAGTGCGAAGGTTCCTGACTCTGCAGAATCCAGGAACGGACACAGCTCACCCCTGGAAGCAAGAAGGTTGCTTCTGCAACTTAGAACCAGGAATGAAGCAATCTCATTGTTGCCCAAGGCCAATCCTCTTAACACGTCGAGAAGCCAGCAGTACTCTTTTTATTTATTATTATTATTATTTTTTTTTATTTTTTTTGGGTTGGGGTGGGGGGCACCAGAGTTCAAAATGGAACACAGTAGGAAATGTCGAGAAGTAATTGGAGGTGACGTTACTCTAGCACAATACTCCTCTTTTCCTTTCTTTCCATATCTAACTTTGAAGTTTTTTTATCTTTCAGACCAGAATATTTTGTCATTGCACTTCTGGTCCCATTGTCTTATAAAAATAAAAAGCTAACACAAATCACGCATCGGCATAGCCACATTGTAATAAGCAACAAAACATGAGTTTGAACTCAAGAAAAACCACTTCATGACAATCAAACCTATTCGATTGATCTCTCTCTACGAACCTACTGTATTCTAAAATCTCTTCATCATTATTTCACAGTTGGATAAGATCTAGGATTGAATCCTTTTTTTGTAAGCTACTGTTATTATATAGAAGCTACAAACAAGACTAAGACTCCGTGCAGATCCATTGTCCAATAGTTCATCAAAGGCATAATTCTCAAAAGAACCACAGTTATCAAAGCAAAACTACATTTCAAGATCTTGCTTATTTGTATTCTTTTATATCATAACCACAACAATTAATACAGGAGAATTAATGCTGTATTTTAGTTGAAACTAACAAGGTTGTTATCAATATGCACGCACTCTGAATTGATTCGTAGTGTTTTCAGCTCACGACTCTCTTAGTACATACAAAGGCTCATGTAAAGGGCATAAACCAAGAAGTCTCAACATAAAATGATGGCCAGCAATCATTCTCAAAGTTGACAACTAATTAAGGTATCAAATCCATACCACTCTTATTGTCACCACCACCGACAAGGAACCAATTCTCTCCAACTGTGACACCAGCATGACCAGCACGAGGACTTGGTATCTCACCCTGTTGAGTGGGTCTGGACCATTCCATCTATGTAATCAAAACATGACAGAAACATGTTGAAATTTTTGTATTCTGAGTAACGAGAAGTTAGAACTTAAAAGGCAAGCAACTAATGGAATGAAATTTTAATCTCACAGTATGCAGATCAAGAACATGAAGATCGTTAAAGCAGGTTGCATGTGAACCGCCACCAAAGATAAGAAGGTAACGTTCTGCATGTACTGCAGCAGCATGATCAGACCTTGGAGAAGGAGGCACTCCCCTGAAAATCACAGACATTACCACAACTAATATATAAATGACCCTATCAAGTGAAAGAAAGTGACACAAGCTAAATTCTCCTCGATCAAATGAGAAGGAAGAGTCAAAATGTTGATTTGATCATTTGATGAGCCATAATGGTTTTCCATCACTAACAAGCATGCATGGTAAGGATGAAAACATATGAGCACCAGCAAGCTGTTCACATACTCAACCATAAACACATTTGATTGATAGAGCAGAAATACAGTATTCCCCTGAAAAAAAGTAGCTCAATGGCTTCAAAATAAAAGCTACAACCCAAGAGCCTGATTCTATAATTCTTCTGGAAAACAAAAAAGAACTTACAGTGTGTCCATTTCATCCCACGTCATGGTTTCCAAGTCCAAAATATGCAAATCATTCAAAAGGGATCTCCTTGCATCTTGTCCACCAAAGATGACTAGGGTTGAGCCAACAGGGGTCCCTGACTGCCCTCCACGAGAAACCTAAAAAGAATAAACATTAGACATTTTCGAGGATAATAAAATCGTAGAATTTTTTCATCAAGCAGAAGCATGTCAAAACATATCTATTTAGAATCATTTCAAAAGATAAAATGAATAAACATGATTGACTGGTGACTGCTCCGGTAAATTGACAAGAGTACTAGTTGTAAAAGATCTGGACTAGAATCTAGCTTGGATAGTTTGCAATGGATGTAGCTGTCGCCTGTTGCTTATTAGAATGAGATGAAGAAAATGCTTGCTTCCTTAAAGTGAGGAACTTGAAAGCATAACAATGAATTCGAAAGATTATTGTTAGATAACAGATTGTTACCGGTGGCTTTCCATAAGTCTTCAAGGTCGACCAGGTACGAGTTTGCAGATCAAACACCTTCACTGTTGTAATAAATTAGTTAGGTATTGAGAAGCAAAACTAAACCCACACCAGGCTTGTCTGGAAGGCAATTAAGTAAAATCCATTAAATTAATCATTCTGTGGGGGAAAAAACTGCAGAAAGAAACTTCAGATCAAAAATAACTTTATGCTTTCAGCTTTGCAAAAGAGAGCAATAGTATTGAGCAAATTTCAAAACTTGTGCAAATTGATTTTCACATCAAATTAATAAAATTAAATACTTAACATCTCAGATTACATATTTGTTTATGATAAAAATGCACCAAATAAGGATCATAAAAATATTTGAGTTCAAAATCCAACTCTCTTAGAATGATAGCATCCCTAAAACACACTGAATTTTTTACACTTCAGCATTACAATCCTCTTCGAAAGAATAGTTAACAAAAAAAAAAAAAAAAAAAAAATCATCTAATTCATACACACGCCGCACCCTTCTATCATCAAATCCCTATGACCACCTTTCATACACAACAACCTTTGAACAACACAAAACACAAAAAGAATTTATCTAGACAGCAATCAAGGGTGAATTTTTCCTCTTTTTAGCTCGTTGAAAAAAAAAAGGGAAAAATCTGAACAAATGCATCAATTAGTCCATCTTCTTTAATTTTTGTTTTCAGTTTAAAAAAAATTAAAAAAAAAAAAAAAAAAAAAAAAGAAACTAAATACATTGTTGCGAAATCAAACGAGGCACAATGTCAACCTTGTAAAGTTTCAGAAGGATCCTTTGTATGTCCCGCTATTGAAAGAAGCTTATTCCCGTCCCATGGTATCTTCAAGGAAAAATGTGTTGCAATTAACATGATAGTAGAAAAAGTATCCAGTCTAGAATTTCCATGAGATGATGGATCGTGCAATTATAACGTATAAGTCGTTAGCTGCTATAACTGTGCTTTTCATTGGATAACCTAGACAAACAATTTTCAAACTAACCAAGGAATGACCAGCGCATGGAATTATTGCACCCTCAGTTCCTGCTTGAACTTCAACTTTAGACCACATCCAACTTCTCAAGTCCAGAACCTACAATGTTCCTCAAATTAAAAATATCATAAGACTGATGTCTTCAGCAAGCTTAAAGCAAAGAGAGCTGAATTTAAAGAATATAAAGATCTCCCACAAGTCAGCGTAGGTAATGTAACTGGAATTCCAAAGACGTGACACGTGGAGTAATAGTATTCTCAAATTTTCTATAGCATTTAAAGTTACAGCCCAGATTGCTGCTGCACAATACAGAAAGAGTTCTTGATATGTTGAATATATCAGACAAATGGAAGCCTAAACTGTCTGAAATGTGGTATTCTACAGACTAAAATGCTGAGGCATGCATATATGACATCTGAGTATAAGTATCGTAATTCCAATACCTGGAGATCGTTTAAGTAGCGTCCATTGTGGTTTCCACCAAATACATACATCTTATCATCTATAACTGCAGCTCCATGCTGTGGGTATAATCAGGCTCTATTAACAAACTAAACAGAACATACAAAAACCAATATATTTTTAGAAAACGAAGGGAAAAAATGAAGTACCAATACCTCATATCGGCCTTTTGGACGAGTGCCAGATACTGGGGGTGCAACCCACTGGTCATATACACTAACTACACCAAGACCTTCAGACACAACATCTTTATCCTGAGTTTCTGAAAGGTAGCCGTTTTCAGCAGGAATAGTCTTAGTCTCAGGAAAAGAATTTTCATTCTCTGTGACAGTCTCAACTTTTGGATGATGCTGTGAACCAACACATATAAGAAAATTCAGTGAAAGAACAATGTTTAATTCGATACAGGAAATAATACAGACGCATGACAAGTTAGATATCTACTATTCATCTCATTCGCTTCATAAACTTATGTCTGTTTCTTCCTCTTTTTGTACATAGTTGTAAAGATAAGATGAAACAGGTAAATTCATTGATTTACAAGTCCCAAGAAAGTATCTTTTTCCTCGATTAAAGATAAACAAGGAAATAAAGAACTCGTAGTAAAGATGATGTGATTTAGAGCAGTATGGAACATTAGTTGATATCAATCAAACGAGAACGTAAACATAGTAAAACATCAGAATTCAGCAGCATAAACTCTGAATAAACGTCTAACACGAGGATTTCATATAATATTGACAGAAAAAGAAGCACAAGTTCACACCAAATCTAGTGAACGAGTTTTATTGGAAACGATGAGAAATGATAAAAGAGAAGTTTATAGCAAAAAGCTTGTACTTCAAGAGATTTAATAACAGCTTTTAAACTTCTAAGGCATATAAGCACTGTCATGCAGAAATTCAGATTTTCCACCAGAAGTTTGGATTGTTTAAACTAGTATGCATAAATAAGTAAAAATTCAGACCTCCATAATGAGTGTCAGTGAATCAATAAGGTATCAAAATCCCACACTTTTACCAGAATATAGTGTTTTAAACCTACAACTGCAATACCTGACAGTAGTTAGGGAACTCAACAAACAGTTCACACAGTCAATTCAAAACTAAGTCAGGCACATAAGTGTCCATATATAAAAATATCAACTTCGTATGTCACTACATAATGTTGTCATTTTCATTGCTGGTAAAAAAAGATTCCAACCCATGACATAAGCAATGGGCCCCGAACCTCTGCCTTAAAATTAGAGGGGGTACCCGGTAAAATATGCAACTCTTTCTCTAACAAAGTATATTAATTAACAATTCATACACAAATTTTGTTTATCAAAATCTTTCTTACATAGCTAGGCGACAGTTTCATTAAAAAAAATGGTGAAAACTGTTTGAATACCAAATATATTCTTAAATGAATTAAGATGTTTGTGTGTTAGGTTAAGGGCAACAAAAGAACATGTACTAAAACTCTGAATCTTTTTGTTGGTCCTTTTCATAAGGAAAAATTGATACACCAGATAGTATATTGCTCACCTTCAACAAACTACCAAAATTTAAATCAATGTAGCAATCCATGAGATAGGGTACAGACAACATTGTAGGATTACAACAACAAACTAAATCTTATTTCCAAAAATAATAATAATAATTTGGAGTTGTCTACACATATTGCCCACTCTTTTTGGTCCATTTTTACATCTACTTGAAGATCCAATGCAATCAATTGCACTACTCCATGTTAATTTGGTGAACTCTCCATCTTCTGACATATTCTATTGCTATTCTATCACTCTTATGGCGATAGCTTCTTTTTAAATCTATACAACACGCATAACCATCTAAGTTAACACTCAATTTATCCTAAATAGGTAACACCATCCACTTGTTGTAATATGATATCATTATTATCTTATCAAATCTAGCAACATCTCTCTTAACCTCATTATTTCTTAATAATGAAATTTTGTCCTTCAACAACCCAAAACCAGAAGCATAAATATAACAGGTCTAATAATCGTTGTGTAAAAGTTCCTTTTAACCTTATAGGGATCTTCATATCACATAGAAATCTAACCAGCTCTATTCATATGCATTTTCCTCGGAAAAAATTATCTTTCCTTAGTTACAATCAAGCATAAATACCTAAAACAATCACTCTTTAGGACTACACAATCACCAATCATAACTCTACTATCATAAATGTTCTTGCAACACAATCACTAAATATTCTCTTTGGAAAATTCCATCATATTCCAAAGTACTCCAACGTTTCAACTTACAAATTAACCCTCTTTTATTCATATCTACTAAACCTATGTGGTGGAGATCAATATAGGAATAAGTAAATCAAAGTTTTAAATTGAGTTTAATTCTGATTAGATTAGATAAGATTTGTTTTGATATTTTGATATTATTAGGAGTTTGTTTCCTTTTTAACTTGTTTTAGTTATTACCCTATAAATAGAGGGGCCTTATTCATTGTAATTCACAACCTTGATTATATGAACAAAGATTAATTTTCCTCATCCTCAATTCTTCTCTTCTTGGATTCCCTCTCTCTGTGTTTTTTCTCACTATGTCATTAGCGAGTAACATTCACGAAAGAACCTCATCTAGTATATATCTTACAAGTTCATCCACAACTAAAGGGAAAAACGCTAAGGACTTCAAATAATATTTTGAAGCAAGTCTACTAATCATCTCAGGCTCAAGATTGCTCCATCATGCAATTCCTTAATAGCAAGTCTACAATGATACGAAATTCTCTAATTATTTCACACTCAAGATTGCTTCATCATACAAATCCTTAATAGCAAGTCTACAATAATACGAAATCCTCTAATCATCTCAAACTCAAGATTTCCATCATACAAATCCTTAATTTAATATATGTATTAGATTTTATTTTTGCTCTAGCACCCATCATGATTAGAAAAGGAAACACTGTTATACATCAAGTTTTCATAAACTTAATGGGGCCACATGATTCCTCGTTAACATGGACAAAGAATGAGATAGGCCAAAATTTTCTACCACTGCCTTAGTTTAAGCACTAAATTAAAAGAAAGTCCAAAGCCAACTAAAGACATTTACCGTGAGAAGATAGGATACATCCATTTTGCATCTTA